GCCGTTGGTTTGCCTCAAATACAACCCGAAGGACCCTCACGTCCTTGTTGGAGGGTGTTACAATGGGTTGGTTTGTACGTATCTGATGCTTCCATCCTTGAAGTTTGTCTATGCCGTTCATTGGGTTCTCAATGTTCCTCGGCAAAACCTAATGCTGCTCATCCTGGGTTTGCGATTTGTAAACACAGCATATTGGGATACTCGAAAGGGTTCCTACCCTGTTGATTCGTCTGCAATAGAGAAAAGCCATCGCGATCCCGTTTCCAATATTTCTTGGGTGCAATCAAAAACTGGTAGGCAACAAGAACTGTGTCTTTTCCCGAATGATGTGCACAGGTGTCTCGGAATCATCATCCTGCTCGTACTTACAGAGATCTATCTTCTCTTCATCCTTCACGATTCCAGGTTCCGAGTTTTTCTCCGTGTCTACTGATGGTATGGTAGCATGGTGGGACATAAGAAAACTTGCTGAGCCCACGGAAACAATGCTCCTTGACCCCGAAAAGAATGGATCGATTGTGGGCGGTACGGTGATTGACTTTGAGACAACCATGGTAAGGACAAAAAGAATGTGACCTAGATGTGATGTAGAACGAATGCGATATGGTTTATTTGTACTGACTGCTAATATGCATTTCCTCGTCCTCCAATGTTAACAGCCAACCAAGTTCATGGTTGGAGCCGAGAACGGATCGGTATTCATGTGCAACAAAAAGGCGAAGAGCCCGTCTGAAAAGATTACTCATATCTATCCTGGACATCATGGTCCCATTTACGCTCTGCAGGTATTTGGATGAAACCCTGTGCTAGCGGGGTGCCTGACCGAAACATACACCGCATAGGAACGCTGTTTATTGATCGTATACGTCACGAATTGCTCTTTCTTCATCCAGAGGAACCCCTTCTTCTTGAAAAACTTCATCACGGTCGGAGATTGGACGGCGAAGGTATTGTTTGTGAATTAAGCGAGTTGTTATCTGCTGATTTCTGGAACTAACCATATCTCACCCACCCCTCCTAATTTTTCGAAATCAATTTCAGTTGTGGGCTGAAGATGTCAAGACCCCGATCATGTCCACGCGGTATCTGTCATCTTACTTGACTGACGGATGTTGGAGTCCTGCACGACCGAGTGTCTTCTTTACGGGGAAGATGGACGGGACGGTCGACGTTTGGGATTACATCTTTAAGCAGAACGACCCCACTTTGACTGTCCAGGTAACGTTGTTGCCCAATACGAGCGGGTTTATGTGAAGTTTGCCCATGACGGTGAATCCATGCTCATACCGTTTTCCCCCTTCTGTATTCCCCAACACAGGTCTGCAGTGCGCCGATACACTGCATCAAAGTTCAAGAACATGGCAAACTGATGGCGGTCACAGCACGCGATGGATCAACAACGCTTTTGGAGTTGTCTGAAGGTCTTTCTCGAATGCAAACCGGCGAGAAGGCTATATTCTCTCAGGTATGGCGATTCGCAAACTTGGTTTTGACCGTCTTGAAAAATGAAGAAACAAAACTAACGAAAATCCTTGAAATCAAAGATGCTCGAACGAGAGTCCAAGAGAGAGAAAACGCTGGAGAGCTCTGCCCGTGAAAAGCGCCTCAAAGCAGCGCAAAAGCGGCCTAATTCGTCGTCAGCGTTGAAGCCGACTGGAGAGGCACTGGCGGAGATGGTGAAGCGAGCGGAGGAGGATTTCGTTGGGATTATCAAGGAGGAAGAGCAGAAGGAGGCGGCTATCGCTAGTGGTGCCCCGCAACAGTCAAAGCGTCATTGAATATGCGGCTGTTGATTTGTTGTGCTTTGTTGTGTTTTATGTTCTTCTTCCCCTTCCCCTCCCCTTTTTCCGTTCTGAAAGTAAAAGATGGGCGGGGACCGAGATGAAGGGCTTGTTTGGTTGAGGTGGTTGCTCGTAGCTGGATGCATTTTTTACTCATTTTATCCTAAATACACCTAGCTTTCTTTTCTGTTCTGTTTTCCTTTGGGGGTTCCGTACTCTACTCACTCTGTTCCCGGGTTCCGTATTGATCTCAAAGGCGTCAGTTGAGTGCCGGTTGGACCACTGGAGTGCCATACATGTGGAATATCTGACTTAAAATAAGTGACCAATATAGGATTGGGACAGGATTGGGGAAAACATGGAGAAGCTACCAAGAATTGATGGATAGCCAACTGGATAGCTAATAAGAAAATGATAAGAAGTGGTTGGTGACTACATGAGATGGCGATGCGGAGTTTGCGGTCCGCGAAATCTTGCAGCTGGTGTCACATTATTTGTAAACAAGGCTGTGTCACTTCATTTGACAAACTCACATCCTCCACATCTGACACAGACCGCAACCCGCAAACTCACCCCGCCGCAATAATTGAATTACTGAAGTGGGACCCAGTTTCAATTGCACACCATGGTCAACTCTCCCCTTCCGCAAGACCTCGCCTCCGAATGCCGCAAGGCCGCAAAGATAATCGATCATTTCGTCAAGCCTGAAAAGGGCAAGGGTCCCGATCAGCTCATTCCCCCGGACATTCTTGGTGAGTTGTACTGTCGTCCTGACAATTTCCCGACGTAGCCAAGTGAAAGGGGCAAAGCGCTGTGTTTCGCTGCATGGGGTGATGTTTTGAGCTTGTTTGTGTGAGTACGTTGCTCAATGGTGTCCTCCCCTGACTCACACGGCCCTGTTTAAAACACAGCAAATGCAAAAGGAGTCGCGATTCTATCCGTCATTAAGGCGGGTATGCTCTTTTCGGGACGTGCTGGGTCTGGTTTAGTGGTTGCTCGGTGAGTTTTGAGCGTTTAGAATGCGTTGGCATGGGGTGAGAGCCGCTGTTGAAATGTTTTCGCACGTTGGTTGTCAAGGGTGTTCATGTTATACTGACTTAATTTGTTCTTCTCTATGTTGGCTTCTTTTGGCGGACGTAATGAAACTTCAGGCTTGACGACGGAAGTTGGTCTGCTCCCTCAGCTATTGTAAGTCTGGGTCACGGACGAGTTGTGGGAAAGTAGTTATGATAAGTGGAAACTAACTGGGATTTCTCTTAATTGGCACGTCCATCGTGGAATCATTGTATCATTAGGGTACTGCAGGAATGGTAGGTCAGCCGATATCAAATGAATGCGGTATTTGCCCATGTGATGAAAGGCGCTGTTACTAAACTAGACATCTTCGGGATTTCACAGGGTGTCGGCGGTCAAATTGGAGCACAATTGACAGATTTTGTGATCGTACTCAACACAAAAGATGCCGTCAAGGCATTTAGTCACGGGGGAAATGTAACGCTCGGTGGAAATTTGTCGGGTACGCCAGAGATTTTCTATACGCTGTTCATCGAGTCATGAAATTACGCGTCTAACAGTTCATCCTTTTTATGTGTGGCTTCCAAACCATTCAGTCGCCGTTGGACCCCTTGGACGTACAGCAGAAGCCGCAGGCACGGCAGCCAATTTCGCTGCTATTTATTCCTACAGTAAATCGAAAGGGTTGTTTGCTGGTGTCTCGATCGAGGGTTCATGCATTTTGGAGAGGAAGGATGCCAATTCAAATTTCTACCATCGGAAAGTTTCCGCAAAAGAGCTGCTGTCGGGTGCTATTCCTCCGCCCCCTGCTGCCGAGGATCTGTACAGGTAAGCATGATGTCAACGACGTGTGTGTGGTAGGCTTCGATGTGTGCTCTCTGAATGACCATTCTTCAAATCAACTATTGCCGATCCAGGGCCCTCAACCGAAGGGCTGCAGCACGCACCAGCATGATCGGGGCCCCGGTCCCCACCACTGCACAAGCAGGCCAGTGGCCCGATAAGAACACCTCTTACAACAACAATAATAACCCTTTTGCCGCCGGTGCTGCTGCTGGTGCAGGCGCGGCCGCTGCTTCCTCGTATTCCAACCGCATCAGCGCACAGAGCAGCAGCAGCGGATACAGTGGGAACACTGGATACGGGGCAGGAAATGGCGGATACGGGGCCGGATCATACGGTGGGGTACCATCCAACAACGTCAACCGAACCTCGACCATGTCGACAACGTCGTCAACAGGGATTGGAACTTACCCTCGCGCTGCACCACCGCCGCCGCCTAACCGTGGTTCGATGAGCGCAGTTGCGATGTACGATTTTACGGGTGAGCGCGAGGGAGATTTGAGCTTTAGGAAAGGAGACATCATTATCATCACACAGAAGACACAGAGTCAAAACGACTGGTGGACGGGAAAATGCAACGGCAGGGAGGGCGTGGTATGTATGAGCTTCCTACTGTCGTGGTGTGCTTTCTGAGTCCCATGCTCGTAAATCTGTTGTACTCATCGCGACTGTAATCATGCCTCTGTTCCTTTCACATAGTTCCCTGCAAATTACGTACAAATGTCGTAAAACGACACCCCTGCCATGTCATCCGTATGTGAGCTACCCAATATCAAGCACAAAGAAAGATACGCAGAAAGGTCTTTCATTTTTCTCCCATAATTTTTTCTTCGACTACTTTATGTCTATGCTGCAACAACAAAACCCACAATGTATACTTTTCCATCCCCTTATTTCTTATCTTATTCCTCGCTGATTTTGGGAAATGAAGTCCATTCTTGATTTTTTGATTTTATTGGTGCTTCTTTGCGCTGAAATTTGCATTTGGGTGCCTTTGGGGTGGTCTTTAGCTATGGAAAATGGCATGTATTTTGTTTCTGAATACCTATCAGTGGAATATCATGTTCATCGGATCAGTTTGAAACATCGTACCTTTCATTCCAAAGGACTTCAACAACCTGCTCTCTAACATCATCACGGTATTGAAGAGGCGTCTCAAAACACCAGCAAGAACCTCAGATCAAGGTGCTGGATCAGAGGCTTTTTCGTTTGGAGGGATTATTGAGGCACCAAGCCCCAACTTTGAATCCGCGGAAAGACCCTGCCGTTGGCCTTTTTGCGACCTGAATGGAACTAGTGTCTTGAATTGCTTTCTTCAGGTAGTAACGGGGGAATTTATCTTTATTTTCCTTCAGTTGTCCAGGTTGCGTAGTGTAGAGGTTATCACTTCAGACTTTGAATCTGAAAACCCGAGTTCGAATCTCGGCGCGACCTGTGCATCTCCGCAGTACAGGTAGCATTTCCCTGTGATTCTTTTAGTTGGTTGGGTACCCATTGAATATTCAACTGAACTTCTCATTGAGTTGTTTTTTCCAAACGGATTACAACAATGTTTGAAACACACGACATTGGTTTTCTACCATTTTTATCGACTTGTTTTTCCGTGTGGTTTGCAAGATGTTTTCAGTATATGGCATTGGTTTTCTTTTCCACCGCACGTCTTTACACCCCGAACCTCCCCAAACCTGAATTCCGTTCCCCACCCCATTCCCATCAACAATGTCAAGAGAATTCGAAGAGAGGAATTTTCTTTTCTTAGAGATTCAATACGTCGCTAACCCACTGATTCCACTTCCCACCTTCAAATCCTCACCTGACCCCAAGAACCCTGTTCCCGTCATCCCTGCCCCAATCCAACTAATACATTCCCCATATCTCCCCATCAAACCCTACAAAATCCGACACTCCCAAGGCGACCGACCATACACTCCGTTATGGGTCCTCGCTACCCTTATTGCGAGTATCGGAGACACTCCACAGATAGTACAGATGATTGATACTAGTGAGGAACCTTGTTAGCTTGTTCACCCTGCCAGTTCAAAACAGTGTGAGCGGGAAGCTGATGTCGTGTGATTCTGTGGATTTTCCCGCTCGGAAGATCCATTTTGGAGCATGCAAAAGTTGAAAGGTGGTGATGGGAGTCCAGTGCAACTCTCAGCAGTGCTCGAACTTGGTTAATGTGATATGTTGTGCGACGTCGTGTCACCACTTCACATTTGACAATTTTCCCAACTCGAGCGCCCAGACATGGAGATCATCAACGAAGCAACTGTCCTCGCAAAATGCTGGAAATGCGGCGGCAAAGGGTACACTCTCCAAAAACAAACCCAAGAAAAATCCCGCACCCCCGAACCCCAAATCTCCGACACCATCAGTCAAGCCTCACCTCCACCACTACAAGCGACTGAATCGGCACCTGAAAGCATTCCAAGACAACCTAAACCACTCCTCCGGAAACCTTGCCGCATATGCGCTGAATCCGGATCTCTATCGTCGGAAACGAAGGTTGATCGAGTGCCTCCGAGGAGGCAGCGGAGGGGAAATTTTTGTCCGTTTCGACCACCGAGTTTTTGGATAGCTCCTGGTCCGCTAATTGCGAGGAGTGTTGAGGAAGGCATTGGAATGCTTGAGGACGGCGAGGTATGCGTCCACGGGAAGGAATATCTGGCCATATTTATCGTGAATCTTATTTTGGTTTGGATCTTGCCGTGCCTGCCCGTCAGATGCTGTCTTCCTGATCCACGTCCATTCTTCTATGACTCTGTTCCGTAAAAAGATGCTGACCTCACTATCTGGTCATTGGATGATTTTCCAAACAAACACTTCGCATCGATACACGACAGATGATCTCTGCACGGCTGCAGTTGCAATAAGTCACATCGTCTCGAACGGTTCCAAGGTCGCTGGCAACCAAGGCACCAGCACCCACAGCAGCTTTCCTCGTACGCATATTGATTTGGGATGCGGGTTGGGATGTGTACTTTTCATGATTGCATGGCGGTTCTGTGAGCAGGGACTAAGGAGGAGCGTGGGGATTGAAGCTCAGGCTCTACATGTGCGGCTCGCTCACAAGACGATGCGATTCAATGTTGGGGAGGATGGGACGAGGCAATCTGTTTCGCCTCAAGCAACTGGTGATGGTGGAGACAATGTTGCTGCAGATTCATATAGCATGGAGATAAGAGAAGGTGATCTGCGTGATCTTGCTCAAGATCCCGAGTCACTTCTCCTGTCTACAGAACAAAACACATTCGATCTTGTTACGGGGACCCCGCCCTACTTCCCTGTCTCGGATGGATGCCTCCCTGATTCTGCAAATCGAGGGTTCTGTTCATTTGAGCTTCGTGGGGGCATAGAGACGTATTGCCTGGCGGCGGCAAGGTGCCTTTCGAAAACGAACCCTGAGGCGAGATTTGTGGTTTGCCAGACGGCGAAGGAAATCAAGCGGACGGAGGTGGCTCTAAGGGATTTAGCTGGGATGAGGATTCTGGAAAGGTTGGTTGGAGGTCGCCTTTTTTCTGTTCACTTCCTTTGATTATGAATCAGAGTTCTTTGTCACGCGCGCGGGGGGGAGAAGAAAGGAATTGGTTATCAGAACCAAAACAAGACAATGAGCCGCTAACACTCATCATCATCTCCTCAACCAATTTACAGATGGGACTTCCACGGCAAAACAGATCGAGAGGCATTATTTTCGGTATTTGTCAGCTGTTGGCCACACCATGGTGTGGTAGAAAAAGAGGGATTGACGAACAAGGATTCAGAAGTGGACTACGTTGTGAAGGAGGTGGATGTAAGAGGATCCGATGGGACTCACACAAACGAGTATAAGGAACTTATGGAGCTTGTTGGGAAACCTCCCATTATTGGATCCAAATAGACATGGGTCACTGTGTCGAGCAAATGGTATCTGTCCTTTTGATGGAGTATTGCGAGGTGTTCTGGTCTGGTTTTTAGCGTGAATTCGGGGGGAAGCGATTTACCCAACCGCGTTATGAGCTTTTGCGTTCATCCTGTAGAGAATGTTCAGCGATTTCAACACTGGTGAACATTCGAGAGCAACGCACTCCGCTGCAGTGTTGAATCCCCAATTCAATCCACGAAATCGAATGATTCTTTGTGTGGTACACTCTCTTTCTCGAAAGCAAATAAATATAAAATGCTACTCAACAGCTCCGCCGACACATTTTTTTGTAGTCGTGGATGCTGCGATTCATTCCATTTGAAAGACTCGAACCCAACGTCTTGGAATTGTCAGGTGTCGAACAATAGGCGCGATTTTTCCTTTTTGGGGCGTTGCGTTCCACAGGTGCCAGGGGACATTTCAAGATTGAAGATCAGCCCACATCTGACCCATCTGTTCAGAAATATAAAATAACAACCACCACCACCATCAAATCCCCAACACCACCCTGGCTACGACACAACCTTCCGAACCTCCCCAAAAGAGACCGAAAATGACCGCCTCAACCCGCGAAGGTAGGCCCGAGAATGGCTTCAAATGCAGAGTTTGTTCGACGTCCAGACTGGTAATCAAACTCACTCCTCCCTTTCTTCTAATATCGTCAGACGTTTACATAGCCGCTGCCGTCCGGACCCCCATTGGAGGCTTCGGTGGTTCGCTCGCGTCCTTCACTGCTCCACAGCTGGGGTCCATTGCCATCAAAGGTGAGGAACGCGGTGATGCTCCATGTTGGTGGTTTCGTTGTTGGAGGAGAAGGCTTTTCAAGGGTCGCTCGTAGGAATCCCGTTTGGGCAACGGTTTCTAACCTTTTCTCGGTCATTGGCGAATAGCGGCCCTCGAAAAGTCGAAAATTTTGCCCGAGGCTATCGACGAAGTGTTCTTTGGTTGTGTCCTATCCGCAAACTTGGGTAAGGACCATGATATGAATATGCATTCTAAAGCTCCCCCTTGCATAGGTCCTTGAAGGCGTGAGGAACGACCGGTGAACTTGAGAATCTTGACTTACCATACTTTTGCTGTCTGAAATAATTCAAGGTCAAAACCCGGCCCGTCAAGCCGCGATCAAGGCTGGACTCCCAAACTCTGTTCCATGCACGACGGTCAACAAAGTTTGCGCTTCTGGGATGAAGGCTACAGCGCTGGGCGTCCAGGCCATCCTCTCGGGAACCGCTGACGTAGGTTTTGTTGTGAGGACTTTGGATTCGAGTTCGAGGCGTTCTGACTCATCGGGCCGTTCCAGAACGGTGAAACTGACATACGCATCGTACGTATCTACATGGTCTTCATTTATCTAACCAGGTCGTGGTCGCTGGCGGTATGGACAGCATGTCCAACACACCCTACTACCTCACCAAGCAGCGGTGGGGATCCAAATACGGAAACCAGGAGATTGTCGATGGAATCGTCCGCGACGGGCTGTGGGATGTGTACAATGAGTACCTTATGGGCAATGCCGCTGAGCTGTGTGCTAAGGAGCATGGGTTCTCACGTGAAGCTCAGGTAAGGAGGCAGCGTCACATCCATTACCACCCCACAACCTGGACCATGCCCAAAACTCCTGTTGTCTAATGTTCTCTTTGTATTATTATAGGATGACTATGCCATCTCGAGTTACGAACGGGCACAGGCCGCAACGGCATCAGGCGCCTTTGCGGAGGAGGTTGTCCCAGTCGAGATCCCCGGCGCAAGAGGCAAACCGGGCAAGACTGTTACGGCTGATGACGAACAAGCAAACGTACGTCTAAATCCCTCTACTTTCCTTTACGTTAGCCATTGCAATCGTTGAAAATGTCGCCTTATTCTGATTTGCAATTATCAACAGCTTAACAAGGAGAAACTTCGGTCCGTCAAACCCGCCTTCCAAGCTGATGGTACCGTCACGGCCCCGAACGCCTCCACACTGAGTGATGGTGCCGCTGCTATTGTGCTCATCTCGGGAGAGAAGGCACGTGCGTTGGGTATCACCCCCATCGCCCGCATTCGTGGGTGGGCTGATGCAGCAAGGGTATGTCAACATTCACCTCTCACTGGTACTTCATTTCGAAACTGCCCGTCGATATGGGAAGACGAAGTCCATTCAACCTCTCTGACCCGACTCGTATCCCCCTCCCCCATCTTCTACTTTAAAAATTAGGAACCCGAACGCTTCACCACTGCCCCCGCCCTCGCCATCCCCAAAGCCATCCGCCACGCCCAGCTCCCCGACGCCTCAGCTATCGACTACTTCGAAATCAACGAGGCCTTCTCGGTTGTCTCCCTCGCAAACATGAAGCTCCTGAACCTGGATGCCTCTAAGGTCAACGTGCACGGTGGGGCTGTCGCAATGGGTCACCCGCTTGGGTGCTCCGGCGCCAGGATCATTGTCACTTTGATCAATGTGCTCAAACAGAAGGGTGGCAAAGTTGGGTGTGCTGGGGTTTGCAACGGGGGTGGTGGAGCCAGTGCTATGGTTGTTGAGTTATGCTGAAAG